TTCATTTCTCATCTATATTGGAATGAGGTGACCACTTAAAGGTAAAAATTGAAACCTGACTATATACAACATTTAGCCGCGTCTCGGAAAAAAGAGGAACTGGGTATTATCCTGTTTTGCCTTCCGTCGATGTTAAAGACAGCATGCATCCTTTTAATGATATACGTCCCGTACAAAAGACTGAAAAAACTTGCTGTCTTTGATCCTATATTTGTTCAAATCAAAATTTACTCCCTGCTGAGGTTATTGCCCATTCTCTGTTTGTTTTTTACTCGACCTTCATTTGCTCTGCAAGTAATACAAAAAATTTATGCCGATTCTAGTTCAGCAGATGTAAAGAAGATCCTTCACTGATGAGAACGGGTGAAGAAAAGAGCAACAGTAAGCAATAACGAAAGATTATTTTGTAATAAAAGCTGTAGTCCTGTAGATAATACTAACTACTAGCTGGAATCTTAGTCATGATGCTAGAATTTATCAGCACCAACCCACGATGAACTCTATTGATTAGGCAATAGCATCGGTAAGTAGTAAACAAAGTAGCAATTTTACACCCAGTTGATATTTATTTATGAGACTTTAATGAAGTTATGGTTTAAAGCCTTACAAAAAAAACATAACGTGCAATTCTTCAGCAGCAGAGAGCAATGATAATGAATAGGCAAATAACCGGTGATCTTTGACTTCTTATCGCTTACGTTAAGACTCTCCTTAATCACCCTATATATTTCTGTTTAGCTAGCTTGTACTTCTCAAAAGGCTCCACGTTTTTATATATTAAGAAGTTGCTATGGGATTCTCTTTTGATCTTCAAAGCCATCAGAACCATCTGTTTCCATCACCAAGTTTAGCGAACCTTAACAATCCTTGCACAATGACCTGTTTACCTTCCTACTCTGGATAAAATATTATCAACTGCTCTGTCATCTCTAAAAGTCATGAAGTGAGTATCTTTGTTGAATCATGTATTTGTCATCACCAAATCATAGTAATTGCAAAATCTATTATAGCATTACCTCCTTCATATGATTCATTAAGCCAAAATCATCATGAGCTCT